CCCCTGGTCACTGACTCAAGAGGCACCAAGCAGCTGCAAACTACCATCCTTATCACCAGATCTTTGATCAGGTTATTTACATAATGCATATCACATAATAAAAGTGGGTAGAAGGAACAAGACAAAATATTTTGAACTATTGTTTTGTATGGAACTTGATCTTCGGAGGACTACTTGTAAATGAAACCAAAGCTTGTTGATTTGCTTTCCTTTCTTACCTTCTCCTGCCTCAACACTTACCAGAATGATTGTAGCTTTTTGTTTATTTTGGAAAAAAGTAAACTGAGAGCTTTCCACAATAAAGTTCTTCCTCGTAAAGGTTTCCCTCTCCCGGCACAGGGTAGAATCCGTAAGTGGACCGTCGGCCTCAGTAGGCCCGCAGCCGGGAGTTTTTCACCGGGATGACTAACCAATTTTCCCTATTGCAGCTTGAGGCCATTGCTCTTAGTCCTGTTCCCTATAGTCACAAAGAAAAGCCCATCTCTATTCTGTCTGTAATCACTCTTCAGGTATTTGAAGACTCTTATCAAACCAAGGGTATACTCCTTCAGTCTTCTCTTCTCCAAATTAAAGAGCCCCAGTTCTTTCAGCCTTTCCCCATAAATTCTGCCTCCCACGTCCATAATCATTTTGTTGCTCTACACTGGACTCTTTCCACATCTTTCTTGAAGTGTGGGGCCCAGAGGTGAGGCCTCATCAGTGCTGAACAGAGTGGAAGAATCATCTCCCTTGATTAGCAAGTGACACTTCCATTAACACAGCCTAGTATACTGTTGATTTTTTTGGCAACAAGACCATACTGTTGACTCATATTCAGCTTATGGTCCATTGTGACCCCAAATTGCTCTCTGAAGTACTGCAGCCTAGCCCATCATTCCCAAAACTATATTTGTACATGCAATTGTTCCATCCCAAGTGCAGAACTTTGCACTTGTCCTTGCTGTATCTCATCTGATTGTGGACCATTTCTCCAGGCTATCCCAGTCATTTTGGTTCCCTGCCTTAGAGCATTTGCAAAACCACACAACATGTGCACTCAATATCATCAATCAAATCACTAATGAAGTTATTAAACAATGGACCCAGGACAGACTCCTGGAGAACCCCACTTGATACCTCCTTCCGACTAGACATTGAGCCATTGATGACTACTCATTGAGGTTGATGATCCAACCAGTTACATATTCACCTCATAGTACTTTTGTCTAGTAGGTATTTCCTTAGCTCATTAAAGGAAAATTTCATGAGAAACAGTGTCAAAAGCCTTGCTATAGTCAAGGCAAGGTTCTTTGGGTAAATCTGATATCTTTTATTAGACCAACTAAAATATTTGGAAAATTTCTTCTTTGCAAACTTTCAAAGAAAAATTTTTCCAACTATTTGAGTTGGTCTAATAAAAGATATCAGATTGACCCAAAGAACCTTGTCTGCCTACATCCTTAAACCAACATGGCTACAACCAACACCCTTGCTACAGTCAAGGTATATCACATCAACTGCTCTCCCCCCATCCACAGAGCCTGTCACCTTATCATAGAAGAAAATCAGGTTGATCAGGCACGACTTGCTCATGGTGAATCCATGCTGGCTGCTTCTCATCACTTTGTACTCTTCTAGATGCTTCAGAATAGATTCCTTAAAGGCTTGCTCTGTGATCTTTCCAAGTATTGAAGTCAGGCTGCATGGTCTGTAGTTTCCTAGTTCCTCCTTTTCCCTTTCATAAAGATGGGCACAATATTTGCCCTTTTCCAGTCATCCAAGACCTCACTGACTTGTACAAGTTCTCAAAGAGGATAGGCAATGGCTATGAAATTACCTCAGCCAATTCCTTCAGCACCCTTGGGCACATTCTGTCTGACCCTGCTGACTTGAAAACATCTAGCTTCCCTATGTAATCCCTAAACTGGTCTGCCATTGCTCTAAACTGATTGTCTCCTTCCCTAACTTTGCTGCCAATTGCACTCATCATCACTTACATACTTTGTAAAGACTGATGTATAAAAGGTATTAAATACTTTGGCTTTTTCTGCTGCCTTCCACATTCTGTAGGAGACCTATTGTTTTTCTGGTCTTCCTCTTGACATACTTGTAGAATACCTATTTATTGCCTTTTATGTTTGTTGCCAGCTGCTTCCCAAATTATGCCTTGGCTGTCTTAATTTTCTCCCTGCACATTGATATGATATTCTTCTACTCTTCCCTTGTAATATGATCTAGTTTCCACTTTTTATTCATTTCCTTTTTGAGTTCCAACTCATTGAAGAGATTGCTGTCTAGCCTGGCTGGTCTCCTATTGCACTTTTCATTCTTCCATCACATCAGGATAGGTTGCTCCTGTGCCCATAAGAGGGCCTCCTTAAAGAACAGCCAGCTCTCCTGGACATCTTTTCCCCTCTGTGGCATCTCTAGTGGATGCGGTGAGTACCACCACCCCCTTGGTCAGGGTCTCCCAACTCGCCTGCGACAACTTGGTACCTGAAGAGAAGGTGGGGGTTCAGTGGTTTTCTTCTTCCCCTATCGACCCAAAGACAGGGTACTCACAGGAGTGCCACAGTGTTCCTCAGGGCTCCGCCTCCCCTACACCCCATCCACTCGCCAACCGCTTGGGTCTTCTGCTCATTGCTCCACTGATCTCTATACACCCCTTTACTATGGGGTCTGGCATCAGCTTCAGCAAACCGGCCGGTTGCCTGGATGTTAATGCCTCTGGAGCCTCAGTCCCTGATCTCAAAGGGCCGAGCCCCAGGTGTTTAGCTTCCTCTCCTCTCTGAGAGAGACACGTTTCTATAAGCTTCATAATTGAGGGGCTGGGGATTGTCTGTCCCCAGCCTAATGCCTGACACTGCTTCCCTTTCTTTGATGCAGGACATTGTCTTCAGGGCCGTCACTACCAGCCTCTGGAGCCACCGCCTGCAAGGCGTGCTCCCAGCTGGCTTTCTCTCCCCTCTCTCTGCCAGCTTCCAGCAGGGTTTTTACATTCTCTGCAGCAGCAGCAGCAGCTGCCACAATCAGCTGGCCACCTCCCCACCCAGGAAGCAGCCACTTGAAGAGCCAGCGCAACACTGGCTCACGCAGCTCCTGCTCTGCTCCCACTCATCTTGGCGGTAAGTTTGCTGGGGTACGGAGGGCTTGCTCACTCCCCCCAGGAACGCCTGGGTCTGTCCCAGGCCTGCTTGGTGCCTGTGTGGGCTTCTCGTCACCACACCCTCAGACTTGCCAACCAGAGATCCTGCCCACCAGTTCCCTTAATTTGCTAAAGTCTGTTTTCTGATGTCCAGTATCTTTATCCTGCTGCTCTCCTTCCTTTCTCCTCTTAAGATCTTGAACTCTATCATTTTGCAGTCACTGGCCTCACCTACACAAGACACTGACTGCTCAGTAGCCTGAGACTACTGTGCAGTAGCATCATGTGGCAGCAACTGTGAGTTCTATCAAGCCAAGAAAGTTTCTGTTATGCTGTGAGCCAAACTTCATTGCCTCCCCCTCCCCTAAAAGCTAATTCACATTCTGCTAACATGCATACAACTGCAATAACACATTCAAGTACATGCTTCCAGTACTCTTGATCCTTTTTCATCAGTTCCTCCAGGTGTGAATCCAAGGTTAACCGACATTGCCTCATCTAATATGTAAGCAATGCTGTTCTATGATCCTCAGAGTTCTCATGATTTTGAATTCCGACAGGGTTTCACCAGTCATTAAACCCATCACTAGCCAGTGCTGTCAATGATGTTGAGAAGAGCTTGCAGACAAAACAGTAAACACAACCGGCTGTTGGAGAGTATAACAGCCACTCCTGATTGTATTTTTCACCATTAACTTTTGTTGAAAGAAATAGACCATTTGAACAATATCTAATTTGGTTTTTGAGTGACCGCTTCAATTTCTCAAATGGGCTGTTCCACTGTCAACACTCTGGGGGACCTTTCTGTATCCAGAATGAAATATCACCCTCAATCAAGACACCCCAGAGACCAAGATCATTGGACTTTGTGTATCTACTTTTTTCAGCTGGGATTTCAGGCTCTGTAACATTCTCAGGTGTAGTAGTCACATTCACAGCTGTATAATCTGTCCTAGTAGAAAAGGTGGATGCCTGTGGTTGCTGTGGTCCTGGATGACTCTCTTGAGTATGAGGTTCTTCCTTTATTACAGTGAAATCACTGTCAACTTTCAGTAATTGTTTTAGCTGCCCTTCAATCAGCTGCTTCTTTTTTCCCTTCTGACATCCACTTTCAAAAGCCCTCTTCATTTTTAACAACTGATTATGTAAAACTTGAAACTTTGTATTACAGTATAACCTCAAGAATCTGACCCCACTGCTTCAGGACCAACTGCCACTCCCCACTGCCAGCCCAGAAGTGGCAGGGGAAGCTTGCACATGGCTGCTGCCACCTCCATTAAGCACCCTGCACCGCTACTCTGCATGTGGCTGGTGCTTCGGGACCAGCGGCCACTACCCCCCAACCCTTCCCAGCTCCACGACCAGCTGCAGTGCCGGTTTAAAAAAACTGGCATTTTCAGATTTCCAGCACGTGCTCAGTCCTAAGCATGCCAGACTTGTGAGGTTTTTACTGTATTTTTTTTTCGTATTTAGAAGCCCCTCATAATATGAGGCCCTAAACTGTAGCTTACTTAGCTTGTGCCTAAATTCCACCCCCTGAGCCCAGGCTGAGAGATTCTTATCTTCCAGCCTGAGCTCTGAAGTCATGGGGCCAGTGCTGGGAGATCCTGATCTCCCAGTTCAAGCCCTGAGGTTGTGGGGCTGGTGCTGGGAGATTCTTTTAGTGCAGCATCAGCTCTGCGGTCATACGGCCAGCACTGGGAGATCCTTATCTCCCAACCCTGGCCCTGCGATGATTGCAGATCAGGGGCTGGCAGCTCCCTGCTGATGGGGCAAGAGGACGTTGTGGGGACAGCAACAATGTCCCAGCCCCCACCAGGAGACAGATGTCTCCTCGCCCTGTGCTCCCCACCAACCCCTGGGCTAGGACCCAGGGGGAGCCTAGAACTCCCCCAGCTGCTGTAGGCTGCTGGTGCAGAGCCACAGGGAGTGAGAGCAGTCTGCTGCTAGCAGCAGCAAATCTGCTCCTGCATTCCTGCATGTGTAGATGTGTGCCTGGGAGAGTTTACTATAGAGTACTTTAGAGTAAACTGCTTCCAGATTATTTGCACATGTAGATGCACCCAGTCTGTGGTAAGGCATCAGATTATGACCAAAACTTTGTTAATCATTTTGAGGCTGGCCTCTTTCTCTCTAAATGCTTTCTCTAAGTTGACTGTTCCCTTACTTAGGAGGGTACAATGCACATTTGCCTTCTGAAACCAGGGTTTCTACTATATTAGTTACTAGCCAGTAGAAATTGTGGGAGAATGTTGTTGTCATCATATCAGCCCTTAATCTCCTTCACTAAGCTACTGAACAATACTTGGCATCATTTCTGTTCTTTACTGGGTTTGGGTTTTAAAGCCTTAAACCCCATATATCTGGGGTTTGACTTGCCTGTGATAGCCCTTAAACAAGACTAGGATATATGCATGTTAATTTGTGCAGTATAGGTGTGTATATGATCTTGTTTATGTTTAGAATAATAATATACTCTTTACTTGCATTCATTTTAGAGTGTTTAGTGTGTCCCAGAGTATTCCTGTACTAAAGATATATGAAAGTTGCAATACATAAGCACTCTTCTGTTGTATCATTAGTATTGGCTAATGACATGGAAAATATGATAATCTTGTTATATTTCTGTATTGTATTAGTGAAAATTTATATTGATGCAAGATATAATTGAAAGTTGCCTTGTAAGCAAAACATTCCTAATAGACTATGATGGACCTGCTACAGATGAGTTTATTAATGTTACTGTCTCTTTTGCATTATCATTTGCATTTATGATTGCTCAGCAGCAGTATGATATCACTAAAAACATAATTTAGGTCAGCACTTGATGTGATAATGAGTGAGACCATACTGGAAGGCAAGAAAAAAAGAAGAATAAGATTTCAAAAAATCAATTCCCAAAATTAGGGCCTTTGACTTTAAAGGGAGCTATTGAGTCTCAGCTTTTGAAAATTAGGTAATTGATTTAGGCATGTAAATGCAGATTTAAGTATAATAATGACAAATCCTCAGAAGTTCCTAGTATAGTCAGTAAGAGTGCATGGGTGTTCTGAGCTTTGAAAAGCCAAATATTAAGAACCCATTAAAAAAACAAACTTAGCCACAGGGCCTTGTAACAGGGCTCTCTGTTACTTGAAGATAAAGGCAGCCCAGCCAGGGCACTGCAGCTGCTGGTGGCCTAGGCAACAGGGCAAAGGAGGCAGTCAGCAGACACCTGCAAGTGGTCAGCTGACTGGATGTAGGCGGGGCCCTGGGAGCATATAAGCCCAAGGCTGGGACTGAAAGGGGAGTCTCTCCCTGGCTGCCACAGGGAAAGGAGCTCCTACCCAGGGGAGCTAGCCAGGGGTGCTGAACTGACCATTTTACTGCCTACAGGAGCAAGGAGGCTCAGGGAACTTGTGAAGTACCCTGGTTAGGAGGAATACTATGTATGTTAGGGGTAAAGGTTTGTCCTCTTAAGGGACAGAGGGCTGCTACTTTGTTGTTTATGTTCTATCCCAGGGGCTTATGACTTATGTTACTGTTTCTACCAGTGGTTTGGGATGAGACTGGAAGGGGAGTTTCATTAGTGCCCAGGGGGCACTCAACTGCCCTGAGCCTTGCCAGGGTCAGGCTCAAGCACACAGAGGCCAGGGGCCCAGAGCCAGGGCACAAACACACAGGGGCCTGGGGCCCAGCAGGCAAGGGCCAGGGGCCTGGTGACAGAAGGGACAAACAGAGCTAGAGCCTCAAAGCCAGGTCCGATTCAGTGGGCCCAGGCTAGACAGTTTAGTGAAATTAAAAGGACAGAGGCTGAGGAGGCTGAAGCCCCACACATGGAATAACATCTACGTAACACCTGTGAAGCATTGGGTTTCGTAAAGGAGAGGTGTTGGAGCCATGCAATTAGCCTTTAAAGCTCTGGGTGCCCTGCTGGACACAGTGTATTGAAGTGAAATTCAGCAAGGGCCTGGGCACAAGCACAGACTGACGGGGTCCAGTGCGACTGAGGCCTAGCAAAGGCCTGTGGGCAGCCTCCCTATATATTACAAATAACACCAAGATACCCTAAAGGCGGAGCAGGGCATGGTTGCAGAGCCACCAGGGGGTGTCATGGCCACCCCTGGACCCTGATGTGTTATAGGCCTGAAAAATTAGAAGTTCTTACGGAAGTATTTAACACAGTGACAACATTGACACATCCAGCCACTTTACTGTGCCCATATATCAGAGATAGATATGCAAATATTATCACTAGTTCCTCTAGTTGATTTTTGGGTACAAAAGTGGAGAAACAGTTGAGACCCTCTTAAAAAACAGGTCTATAAAGTGCACCAAGGAGAACCTCTAAGATCTGCTGAGCTACTAGGACCATCCTGTCTACAGCTTAATGTGTGGTGCTTCCATTGCTGCTGTATTTGACAATCTTTACAGTTTATTCCTGAAAATCAGTGGCGACACGTAAGGGATGTATGCAGGTGCACGTACACCCCCTGAGCATGGCAGTGCAGCCCCTACAAAAAGGCAGCACTGACACTGTCGACAGTGCCAATGAGTTGTTGCTGACCCCTGGTTGGTGCTCACCACCCCGCCTCCCCCCGCCCCCCTGTGCCACCAATAGTGCCAGCAGTGTCTCCCCACTTACCACTGCCGTGCTCCCGTCACCAGCACTGCCATGCCTTCACAGCTGCTGGGGGGACGCATCATTCATGTTGAAAATTATATTTTGGCCACATAGCACAGGGTTCAACTTGTGCAATTTGGACTGGCAAATGAAGATTAATCTCTTCTCCAACTGTAAATCATTAAAAAATATCTGCCATTGGTGCATTTTGGGCCTTTGGAAAGTAAAAAGGTTTGGTCTTCAGCATTATTTTCATAAGGGATAAGTTCTCTTAGACAAAGATCATTTAATATGCACTCCATTATAAGCCAGGGAAATCTTCCCAAATAGTTCATCAGTTTAGAGATGACATTTTTTTGGGAAAGAGTTCCCAGGAGTCCCTTAAAATCCACTGCAAAACTTTGAAAGTGTTCAGTGTGCAGTTTAGGACTGGTCTGAAGCTCTCATCCCCTTTAATGGTCCATCCAGTTGTTGTAGTGAGGATTAGTTTCCTTAACTGCAATTCAGGCAATATCTTTCACTGCTTTTTCTTTGTGTTTGAATATTCAAGTTTGTGATTTTTTTCCCAAAATATTTTTATTCCTGGTTCTGAATCTCCTTTCAGAGCCGCATCCATGCAGTGTTTTTTAGTGGCAGGCCCATAACTATCCTTCAGAAAACTTCTACAGGGTACATTTTTATGGAGCCTAGTTTGGAGAATATATGCAAGGTAGTGGGGTGGGAGGAGTGTACTAACTGAAAAGGCAGCTTTTAAAATCTTCATTTCCTTCCTTATGACAGGTTTTAATAATAACAAGAATGGACTCAGATAGTGAAAAGGCTGCCCTCATTGACATGCTTACTTCAATAGAAGGTAAATGCTGCATGTGCGTGTTCTTACGTATAACAGTCAAGACATCAAAACTGTTCCCCAGTCTAATCTTTCTTATATCTTTGAGTACATCTCATCCCACTTGCCTCCTTTCATACATGTATATCATTCTTCCTACTATTCTCTTTTCCACTCCTGTTTCTGTGCCTCCTTTGACATTGCTTGTCCTCAGAACAGCCTACCAGGGGCTTCTTTCAGTAATACTCTTTAAAACCCATTTTTCACATAAAATGTTTCTTGGTTGATCTTCACATCATCCTCACCATGCCATTCTGTTGAATTGTTCTTTCTTGTTTTGTCTTATATAATAAATTCTTTAGAAAAAGACCCCTGCCTTTTAACAAAAAGCGGAGGGTATATTTGCCACAGTGTAATAATAAACACTTGCTTCTTGATGCAAATTGGTTAAATATATGTGCTAGAGACACTGACTAAAGAGGAATTTTATATGAAATACACATTGTGTCTCATCCTCTGCAGCTTGTTAGCTACATCTTTGGTTATATTTCTATATCCATGAGAGGAATGAAAAAGGAACAGAATAAAATACCTTTGCTTTCCACAAGGTTCTGCTTGCTTATTTTAAGTCAATGAGAAACATTTCTTAGCTAAGCAGCATGCTTGCTCCAGACATTATGAGACTCTAGAATACACTTCAGCACAGGCACAGATTTGCAAGGCTCCAAGAATAAGTCACTGTGTTTGCCAGGCCAGCAAAACTTGAGACGATTGACAACTGCCTGTGTTGCCCAGACAGTGCTCCTGAGGATTATCACATTCTGACTTGGTCTGCATTTGCTGCTTGTTGTCATCTGTCAGTTCATACCAGTAGAATATCTGCTCAGTCTCTTGAGTTTTTCATTCCTTCTAAACAGGTTTAAAAACCGTGGATTTGAATCCTGAGAAGAGAGGAGCTTTGTTAGAGTGCAAAAGTGTCATTACCAGGTGTGTGGAATTCATAGTTTTCGCAGTTCATATCATAAAGACCCCTCCCTAGGGTAATGTCATTGAAACTCCTGTTCATTTCAGTGGGAGTTTTGTTTAAGTCCAGAGTATGAATTTCAGGATTAGACCTTGTCAGCCTTCTTCTGCAAGGTGATTAACATCTTGGCCCCAAGTCAATAAAACACTTAAGTACAGGCTTAACTTTAGGCACATGAATGCTCCCATAACAACCACTGACATTTCTCAGATGCAGGATCCGCTGGGGATAAAAAGGAAATAGGATTGTGACAATGCACAAAGTTTCCATGAAAATCTAATTCACAAGACCCCAATATCTAGCTGATGATGGCAGGAAATAGAAAGCCCTTACTGTAGATGACTGCAATGGACAAAATAGTTAGAAAAAGATACTTAAATGTTTTAATACAGAGAGAGCAAAATCTAATTTCATAATAGGCATTTAAATGACTGGCTCTTCTTATTCAAAATGTAACCATTTTAATTTTGTACTGAAAGTAGTCGCACTAAAACAGGATTTTTTTTTCTTTTGCTGTTTCTCCTTCAGTTTAAATAAATGCTCCTGTGCTATTGTAAATTATCAGTATATCGGAGCTGACTTCCCTTGGACGCATTTCTCTCTAGTGGTGGAGTTTGATTATACAGAGAACTCTTGCTGGAATAAGCTCTGCAAAAATCTGAACATTCCTTATATAACTTTTAAAACTACTCTCCCAGAAACTGTTGTAATGAGTAAGTAAAAGCTTCTAAAATTCCACTGAAAGGTTGGTCTTTCATTTGAAAAAAGGAATTTATTCTCTAAAATATTTGTGTATGTATGTTCATGAAAGAGACCAGTAAAGAATAATGGCTACAGTTTAGCTTTGTGGGCCAGATTGGCTCATGACCAGGGATCCTGGTTTTCTCTGATTTAGAAAAATCCCCAATTCTTGGTTTAAAAAAGTAACCCCAAATCCTACTCACACAGGGAGAAGGAGCATTTTAATGGGTATATATAAAGTTCTGCACTGTCAAGATGGCAGATCACTGTGAATGCTTAAAACTGACTCTTCCTGGCCTCCCTATTTTTGAAGCTGTTCTTTGTTTAGAAAATGTTTCAGGTAATCACTTTGGCTCCTTCCTTCTGGATACTCAGATTCCCTATGTATTTTTTACATCTGAGGGACTTCTTAACTCACCAGAAATCCTTCAGCTTCTGGAATCCAAGTAAGTGAAACTGACCTTATTTATGATGCATCTGTTAATCCGTTCTATTCACTGTGGGTATTTCTAAGGTATCTATAGTTTCATTAGCAATGAGGATATTTATTCACAAAGTTAGAGAGTTCACAATCTAATAAAGGAAATACAACAAATTTTATGCTCACATACATGGCTTTCTTCAGTTAATGGAATAGTAAATCAAAGCAGAGTCTAAGATTAATACTGAGACCATAGTTTTATTCTCAGTTCTTTCTTGAGGCCAAACGTTTCATACACACACACAAAAAAAAAAATTACCTTTTGGGCTGTACAACTTCATAAATGGGTTTTGGCTAGAAGGGAGGTCTGTCTGTCTCTTAATTTTTCATAAGTTTTTTGCTTTAAAAAAAATACAACCATGCACCTCAAAACAATAGTAAAGAAAAGATTACATGTTTTCTAATATTACCAATTTTTATTATGGTATTTCTGTAATTGAATAAGTCAGTGCCTGCTTTGTTTGTGAAGCTAAGACTTGGTGTTCATATCATTCTGAATGAGTGTTTGAATATCTTTGTTTTGGAAATGGAAAAAATGTGAATTTTTGCAACTAGTGCACTGTACGAGTGTACAATTTTCATTATCAGAATCATATTCATTTTGCTTTTCTCAACAGTCTAAAAAGCTCACAGATAAAAAGAGACTTTTGATCATGGTTTGGCAGAACAAATAGCAAAGTATAATTTTTGCAAGTTTGATTGAAGGTAGTCCATCTAAGCATTGTGTAAGAGTTAACCATCTTACTGAAAACCATTGCCAATTTTGACACTGTGAAGTAAAATGAAAACAAATGGTGAAATTGTACCTATCTGCCTTTAACAATAGTTTAATAGTCCAGAGAAATAAATGTAATGTTTAATACTTAAAGTTTTATTACTTTGTGACTGTACTGTTAGTGTTCGTTTTCACTGCAAGCAGAGTAATCAGGGACCCATTACTGCTTTTGCCTATAGTCTTCTTGCTACTGAGGGAATTAAACTGATAAACAAAGAACTCTAATTTCACTGCATCTTACCAGTCACATTGCCTTAAATGAGCAGATATGAAGTATTCAGTTCTTTATAAGATTTTTGTGCTGGATATCAGATGATGCATCTTTCTATGGGCTTCAGTGCTGACAGAGTCAACTTCAGATCCCCTGCATCTGCTGGAAGGCAATGCCAAGAATAGTTTTTCACTGCCTGCTACCCTAATAGTCTACCCCAGTGGTCTCCAACCTTTTTATGGTGAAGATCACTTTTTGGAAGTAAAGGGCACCACAGGATCTACTGCACTGCCCTCCGCCCCACCCCCTGCCCTGACTCCTGCCCCACCCCCAAGGCCTCCAGAGCACAGGTGGAGGGGAGGAGAGGGGCACAGGCCCCTGAGGCCTCCACCAGGCTGTGCCAATCCCACTTCTATGCCATGGCTGCACTGAGCAGCACCTGCCCCGTGGCCAGATGAACGTGGCATTGCACCCCGGCTCCTGGGTCTGCAAGACTCCAATCCTCTGACCACCCTGCCAGGCTGGGGCCCCACTTACCTTTCCCTGTTCCTGGCTAAGCCACATGGTCAGTCCTCACCCCTTCCCTCCTACAGTTTGACCTGCTGGAGCTGGGGGAACAAAATGGGCGGTGGGTGCATGCACATGTGTCCATCTCTCCCCCAGCCCAAGATCTACCAAAAGAGGCTCTGGGATCTACCTGTAGATCAGGATCTGCTGGTTGGAGGCCACTGGTCTACCCTGACTCCTTCATAACCCTGAGCATATGTTCAGAGCTTTTCACTGCCACTGGAAAAGAGGGATGTTGTGTTAGCTCACTTCCCTCACCCTGATAATTTAAGGTCATTAATGAGGAATTCCATTCCTTTCATTCCCTCTGTGCTGTACAGTGGTAAAGAAGATAAAGAAAAGGAGGATAGACAGCACCAAATCAGGTGGAAATGGCAATTGATCAGGACAGCATGTTGTTGAAAGGTTTTTGTTCTGGATTTCAAGAACAATGTAATACAGCTACAACTATTAAGCAGGTGTTAAGGATTTTTAATTTGCTGCATCATGAATATCAGCATTGGGCATAGTAGAGATGCATCTTATAGACTAACTAAATCACAGATGCATAAACTTTCATGAGCAAAACTCACTTCATCAGATACTGTGAAAGGACGTGTGATTTTTTTCTAACTTACTAATCTCAGCCTCAACATTGCATGCTATTTTTGTCATGAAAAAGTAGTCTTTCTCACAGGCTGTGCCACTGCATCAAGGTAATATCAAAATGGATGATTTCTGTTATTTGAATATGTCATAATTTAAAGTGTAGCTGAGGATTCAGGAAAGTGCAAAAAGATGGATTCATATTATTTATCTGAAGAATCTAATAAGCATGCTATATAACAATGTTCCATTTAACCCTTCCTTTTTTAGGAAAATTTCAAAATTTCACTTAAATGATATCGAGCAATCGTATCATTTCTGCAGGCATAACATCACTTTTGTTGAAAGATGTTGCAGTGAGTCATTACAGCTCTTTGGAGACACAGATCAATATGTTGTGTTGACAATAGATGAACACACTGCTATAGTTTTGCAGGTATAAAACAAACTATGCAACTATAAATTGGAAATGCAACTAATATGGCCAGATTCTACACTCAGTTACATTTACACAAGTTGTAATCTTTCCCTTTAGGTCTCTCTCTGTAGCCTTCTAACTTGTTCAGTTGTTCCTGTTTAAACTGTGTAAGTTGCAAGCCCAGACAGTGTCAAGCAAACACTTCTACAAAGAAGTTATTCCCCAAGTTCTGTGAATCCAAATTCTATCTATGCCATCAATGTATCCATTGGGTGGTTTAATGTTGATATTAAGTATATAAGAAATGTCATCTTAGGTAAGACCACAGGTTAATTTAAGCCCAATATCCTGCATCTCACAGTGGCAAACTATAGGGAAAAATATATATGCAAGGCTTATCCAGACTGATCTGACCCCTGCCATTCATCCCTTACAGCTTCCAACTTTCAGAGGGCTAGGAAGTCCATATTTGTAGGTTGCATCTTCTTTCCATGCACATGCTTTTTAGGTGACCAACAGCATGCTTACCTGCATTGTCTCTGTTGGCGGTTCTGCTCTCCAGTCCCTGAAGTGATTGTTTTAATCAAATTGAACAGCATTTAAATGCACGCATTTAAAAATAGATTTATATTAAAAGCATGTTGTGGCCCATCCAATTTGTTAGCTCCTCTCTTTGATGTGCATTTGTCACATTTTGACAGACAGATGTTCCTGCTTGTCTAGTCTGTGGCCCTTTGTATATGGTAACTTCCCAGGCTCTGACCTTTCGCAGTCTTACCAGGCTATTATCTTCCTCACAGTCGTTTCTGTTTAACTGCTTTTTTACATAGGTGCACAACACCCCAGCGGTCCTTATCTCTTACAGTGCATGCCACTCCTCATTCAGTCTCCACCAAGATCTCACATCACCACTAGGCAGCCCTCAAACATCTTTTATGCTGACTGGGGTTCAGTAGAAGGATCCAGGCACATCCTGCTCTCTTACATCCCACACTGTCTACTTATGGGGTTTCCTACTGTGCTTCATCCCATAACCCCATAGTAGGTATTTGTATGTCTTGCAAGACAAGAGAATTTAGCCAAATGAGGCATCACCTCGCTGAACATCTTGAAAGACAGAGCAAAGCTGAAGTGACCTCTTCAGGGTGCAAAAGCCTGGGATGTTTATATGGAGACATTGAGCTACCCACACACCAGTACCCCCCTCTCAGCCTTGCTGGTTTAATCCAAAGGAAAGACAGGTGCCAGTATGTTTAGAACCACCTTGGCTACAGGAGCTGCTGGAGCAAAGGAAATCATCCATTTGTCCATCTCACAGGCCACCATTCCTAGATTAGCTTCACAACCTTTTGGCGGCATTTTCACTGCCAGGGATAAGACTAGTACCTCCCCTTTCTAAGTGGCTTTTCTGTCTGAAGCCATTTGCACCCTAGAGCGCTTGCACATGTGATGAAATTGCCCTTTTTAGCAGTTTAACTGCATCACACATACCGATGTGGCAGCATATTGGGATTTAATTTTGTCACGTCATACATATGCAGCGGCATATTGACATATAAATGACTTTGTTATGTAACAAACTAAAACACATCTTGATGTATTTTAGTTTACTGCCTAACAAAGTACAGCAATAGATCCATCCTCAAGCCCACCTGGGCTTCCAGTAACCCATGCACCATCCCCACTGCCTTCTGCAGCCACCAGCACACCCAGGGCAGCATGGGGAGGCAGCAGGAAAGTGGCTGGATGTGCTGGCGGCCACAGAAGGTGGCAGAGACCCTGCACAGGGCAATGGAAGATCAAGTGTGCTCAGGGAAGCTTGGGCTTGGCAGGCTTCCAACACCCTGTGTACAGTCCCTGCTGCCTTCTCCAGCCTCCAGCACACCCAACGGCCCTCCTGCTGCCTTCCTGCACTGCCCCAGAGGCAAGCCAACCCATTCCTGGGTGGTCCCAGGCAGTGGGAAGGCAGCGGGGACAGTGCACAGGGTGCTGGAAGCCCCAACAGGGAAAAAAAAAGGAGAGAGAGGCCTGATCCTTTTTTTTTTTTTCTTTTTTCAGTTAAATCTGACAGCCTGCCCATGGTTGTGGGGTGAGCTGCCAGCAGTGTCTGAGCTGTGGGGGGCCCCGGTCTTTCCATCTGCAGTGGTGGTGCCCCCCAGGGCTGCCCAGGCAGGCTGCTAGCAGGCCGGATGCTGGCTCTGAGCACCTCAGGGCCTGCTAGCAGCTTGCCCTCCACACTCCCTCCCCTTGGCCGCAGGCCAGCTCCACAAAAACAAAAACAAAAAACCATTGCAGTAATAGTGATGGAAACCCCTAAATTGAAATGGTGGGTATTTAATTGTAACAATTAAAAACCCACTGCTTCGACTTAGGGGGAACTAAACCCCCGTCATGTGTACAAGTGGCCCTAGAGCAGGGGCAGGCAATTATTTTGGGCGGAGGGCCACTTACTGAGTTTTGGCAAGCCATCGAGGGCCTCATGACGAGCAGCCAGGGGCAGATAAATATTAATTCTCTAAATTATTTAGGGGCCCCACAGGCCAGATAGAATGGCCTGGCAGGCCGCATCTGGCCCGCAGGCCGCATTTTGCCCAGCCCTGCCCTAGAGGAGGCTAGGCTATTTAACCGCTGCCCAGCACTTGGTGTTAACAGTTGCAGGTAGTACTGTCTACTGTAAAGTATGGTAGCAGGTGAACCTGACCTGTCACAAACCTGACCTAACCTGCCCACATTCACCCAGCAGCACCAATCAGCTTCCCAAGCCCACTTCCTTCCTCCCATCAACAGGGGCCCACAGTCAGCCATTATGCTATCTAGACATCTCTCAGCTGTCCATTATCAGCTCCAGTGTTCTTAGTTGTTTTTCTCTGTACGCTCCAGCCCTTCCATCCATAAGCCTTCTTCACTTCTACCTTTCACCACTGCAGGCCCTTAGTAGTCACTTGCACTCTCCAGGCCTTCCAATCTTAGCTCTCTGTGGAAACCAGCTCTTTTCTTTCTCCTGGGAGATGTCTTGCTCTCCCTTCCCAGTCTAGGACAATAGATGAAAGCACTGTATTCAGCAGCCAACCTGTGACTGACTCTTACAGCCAGCTTTCCAGCTATTACATCCCTGGTCTGGGTAGATCCAGATGTGCATCATCATCGTTCCATCCTTAACCACTCCTAGGGCAGCAAGAGGCATCCCTGTGTGCCTATGTAATAAGTCATGTGAAACACCCTTCCAGAACATTAATTTACATAACTTCCTGATATGAAAGGAAGTAGTCTAGACAAGACCTTGCACTAGAGTAATAGTTACATTACAAAACAAGATCATATACAATTTATGTTGTTTAGTACTATATTAAAGTTCCTTAGATTCCTTATAATTGAATGGTCTATTCACAGATGGGACTGAAACTTTACAGGTAGCAAAACAGCTATTGAAAGGTAGAGTATAAAATTATGAATCAATATTTACAACAGAACATAACTCCTACACAGTAATTTTTAGTCATATTGTGCTTCATAAACCTATTATATTCATATTTATCCATATTGTGATTTGTACAGGTTGGTTAAGATATTGTAATGATTAATAATAACAGTTCATTTCATACTTTTCAGTAAACCTTAGAACATGCTAACAAAATAGATAAATTCTATCCCCATTTTATGGAGGGGAAAATTGAGGAACAGAGACATCAAATAACTTTCCGAAGGTTCTACAGAGTAAAAGTCAGGAGGGGAGTCTAGGTCTCATAACTCCTGGTCCCGTGCCTTGTCTACATAATAATGCTAGTTCTCAACTGTTTATATTGCTCTGGTGAACCCTTAGATTTTTGCATTGACCTTGTAAATACATTTCAAATATTAATTTCCTCTTTTTTTATGTAGAATGTGGAAGAACTAAGCTGTGAGAAATCTGCCGACAATATCATACTGAGACTGATAGCACTGTCTCTCCAGTACAGCTGTTGCTGGATCATATTATACTCCAGAGAGAGACTGAGTTCAGAGTAAGTTAAACATTCATTTTGCAAATGCAATATTCTAAAACAGTATTGCTGCTATAAAAGATGGTTTATTATAACAAGGTAATCTAAGAAAATTTCCCCATTCAAATTGCAAGGTAAGTTGTGTGTTGCTTTTACAACAGCAGAAATAGCTACAAACAAGCTTGTTTGTTTAGTTGGGCTTCTTCCACAAATTCTGTGTTATCATGCTTTCAGGCTGGGACTCAGTTGAGTAATTTACATTACAGTGAAATCTGGGTATCTATAGAGCCAGTAGAGGTATATTTTCAGTTTTTAGATTATTCTTGGTCATGTTGAAGAGATGGAACAACTGAGTTTTAAGAAATTAATTTTCCAGGAGCTTAATACTTAGATCAGACAACTTTGTTTTTGATAAATTAAAAACCCATCCAAAGAACATACTCCAGCTTGACAACAATACTTACTGGAAATCTATATTGTAATAGGTTGAAATAAGTTACCTCATTACCTGTACATTAATGATTGCATCATGTTCTAGCCTGTCCAGCAAGTAGGTCGGTATTCTCCTGGTCTGTTAGTCACTGCCAGTCATTCTTCAGCTTTTGCTCCATAAGCGTTTCCTACTCTGACAAGCTCATTAGTGGTCATAGAATGACAGGAAAATAGGGCTGGAAGGGCCCTCAGGAGGTCATGTACTCCAGTGTTTCTCAACCCATGGGTTGTGACCCAAAAAACGGGTCACAAGAATATATGAAAGGGTCGCGAACAAACTTTTAAAATGATTTTAAAAACTTTAAAAATGGATTCTCCTTTAAAGGCAAAAAATGTGGAAAACCATGGCTTTTTCCTTGCATGCTGGCAGAGTTCCAGCCTACCAGGGGCTGCTTGCCCCTCCTGCCCCTTACCCCACACACCCACCCCCTGCCCCATACACTGGGGGGCTGGAGTAGGGGACAGCAGATCAGGAGTGAGGGGCACCAGCCAGGCCAGGGGGCTGTTTTCTACTTAAACTATTTACTGGGCCAGGACTGGCCATCAATGTTTACCAGTGGGTCCTGGCACAAAAAAAGGTTGAGAACCACACATCTAGTCCAACCCCCTGCCCAAGGCAGGATCATCCCTATCTAAACAAGGGCTTGTGTAAAACTACACAAACAATTCTGTCTTACAGCTACTAAGCATTGTCCCAAAACACTATCAATACCCTGACCTGCCACAAAGAAAGCAAGTGGGGTGCAGGCGTTGTTAATGTCCTGCCACCTCAAAGATTAAAAAGTGGTTGTTAAAATATATGTGAGATCCAAGGGAGAGGACTATGCCTCCCCACTGCAGAGAAAGCAAACTTCCTTGCCCACCCCGCCTCCCCGGTCGACATCAGTCTGACTGTGAGGTAAAATTCCTTCCTGATCCCAAGTGTGGCAGTTGGTCTGACCATCAGCAGAGGGGCAAGACCCTGTTACCAGGAACCTTCAGGTATTTTAATCCCAGGAGAAGCATCAGCATACTCCAAGATCCCCAGCCTTGGTGACAGCCAACACCCAGTGCTTCTGAGGAAGGTGGAAAAAAAGAACCCCGATGCCCGTAGCAACAGGAGAGGGGAAAAATTCCTTCCCAGCCCCAAGCGGGAACCAGCAAAGCCCAGAAGCATGGGAAAAAACTGTCCTTCAATCTCTTATTCTGCTCTCTAATATAACTACCATTGTCATTTGCAGTGCCTTGTACTGTAAGACAGTGGTGAAAGGCAAACTCTTCCCACTCTAGGTGCCATCTCTGATATCTTTCTTTTATTAATTTAGTTCTCTTCACATGCTTTTGCTTCACAACACTCCATTTGTACTGGAGGCAAATACTGTTTTTCTCTCTCAGTGCATCTTTCCCTCCTGCTTTTCAGTGTGTTCTCGCAGGGTCACGTGTTAAATTGATGTTTATGGAGCTTTAGTTCTAGTTAGATAAACTATATAGCTGCAGAAGAATTTGTCTTTGTCAGATGTCTTCAAGTTGCTTTATGCAGATGTTAGAACCATGTGGTATTATAATGCAACTCTGTTTCAGGTACAGTCTAACAGGAAAGACTCTGCATCATCTAGCCTTAATATATGCAGGTTTGATTTCATTTGCACAGAAATCTGAAGACTTTGAAGTGAAGGTAATTTTTTGGTGGGAAGTTTACAAGCCTGCTTTTATCTCCAGTGTCACTACTATTACATTGCCAAAACATTTCAGAAACAAAGTGAAAGTTATGGAATAACAAAAGTTTAAACACCTGATTAAAATAGGATGTAGGAGACTGAGCTAATGCCCAGTGAAGACAATAAAAAGACTCCCGTGTATGATTTCAACAGGCATTGAATCAGGCATCAGGCATATATCCAATGCACCAGAGATCATAATACTGAGATAATATAATTGTATCAATCTGTTGTTATGCACAAGAACCCTGCTGTACTAGTCTGAGTTTGTTTTTCTTAATTTAAAGTCACATTTTTGTAGAAGTTAATGTCAGATTACTCTCATGATACTAATTATGTTACTGCTTTAAAAAACAAAAGAAAGCATTACTTTTCTCTCTGCATACCATTTCACTGCATGTTTTCATTGTATGTGAAGATAAAATGTTTATAAAAATGCTTTTTCCTTCAGAAAATGGATAGAGAAAACAATATTTGTAGTAGTGAAAACTGGAAGTGGGAACTGGAGGGAAAATAAAAGTGTGTGGTTCACCAAGTTGGTCTCTGTGCTTAATCTGTAACATAAAATAATTTGCAAATACAAAATGATTTTCTATTAAACTGACATTAACATATGTTGCAAAGGTGTTCCTCCAGGAAGGTTAGCTTTAGGAAAAGACAAAGCTGACAGTCAATCCTTGTAGACTTTAACATATATTTGATGGGTACCTTATTAGAAAATATGTAGGCATTCAAAGTGCTAAATATCCTGAATTCCACAAATTCATTACACCTTTACTACAACGTACCAACTTTATGTTCTCAAGAATTACTTATTTGAAAGGAAATCATTGTTATATCTATATACTTGTTCACATCTAATATTTACTTCACTTAGAACATGAATACTTCAGGGCTAACACGTAGGGCTTAAGGGTAGGAGTTTGTAGCTGCTCCATAATATTTGCATGGAGCAATTTTAATGGCTTGAGGTTATACCACCACTTCTAAATTTTTTAGTTGGTTGCCTACTACAGACAATTGACATACGATCGTTTATTCCTAATACAATTTTACATTATTTTTAGATGGCTCTTGCACCAGGGATTGAAGAGACAGCACTGTTAATTCGTCAGATTGCTAACAACATTCTGGTATCTTCCCAGACAAATCCCCATGAGTGGCTGGACAAATCATGGCTTTCTGTCTTGCCAACTGAGGTTTGTGTGCATGGGCTTTAACAAAAAGTGAACTGCTTTAAGAAAAAACAGTTTTCTTTCTTTTTCTAAGATACTTTACCGTCTAGGATGTTTTCATTGCTTCGTTTGCTTTCATGTTTTGTTCTAAAGTATAAATGTAAGGGGCTTGAATTCTTGAGGCACAAGCAAAACTTGCAAAGAATTTTGTTCCAACTACTCAGTTGGTTTAATAAAAGATATCACATCTACCCAAAAAACTTTGCCTGCCAATGTGTAAAATGGAAACTCTTCAAAAGCCAAAAACTTGAAGAAGTAGCTCAACAATATATAATTTATGTGAAAGTTAGAAACACTATAAAATATAACTGCTCTGTAATACAAGCACAGCTTGGGCAGTTTCTCTTGAACATTAAAAAAAATCTGCTCTAAAGAATAAACGTGACATATTGAAACCAAATTAAGATTTTTGGTAAAATCAGGAGTCTGTATTGAAAATTGAATTTATATGGATCACCGATTTCAACCATAATTGTGGAACTGTTACTTGCCGTTCATATTACATCCTTCCTACGCTACGTAATTTGTTTTCCCACTAGCAAGATATTGTGGTTATGGTGACATGCACATTAGAAATGCACAGATTCAAGGTGTAACCAGATCAAAATCCTGGTTCTATGATAGATTCTGTGTACAGAGACATCAAAATGATGCCATTCTCTTCACCTTCTACAGACAGGGCAAGCTGAATATCTTAAGTGGATCATTTTGAACATTTATAAACTGACTTCTTTTTCTTCTAGGCAGAGAAGCAGTTACTTGCTTTTCCATGCCTGAACCCTCTAGTAGCTCAGCTCATGTTGAAAAGAGGGTATTCATTGAACAGGCTTTTGTCAGCAACTTTTGACCAACTTCAGGAACTCCTGCCTGAGGTTCCAGAAAAGGTGTTAAAGGTTGGTCATCATGAAATTACATATTTAATTCGTGGACCAGCTGATTGTCTGAAAAATAAGGTCAAACAAAATGCTTTCTGAGGTCTACAAGGGTGAAAAAACACATTTTAGCCACTTTAAAGGAGATAGGAATGTGACTGCTCAGAAACAAGCAGCAGCTGTTATGAATTATCATGATTTTGTAGTGATCCAAGTTACTTAAATCTACCTTTTGACCTTGAATGAGACAATGTTAAAATGGGAACAATTGTATCACTGCAAAAAACTCATATATAGATACACTTATGTCCATCTATACCAGTGATTCTCAGCCAGGGTCCTCATCATTCCTCCTCTCACCCAGTACCCCAGCATCCCATAGACAAGAGGTAGATAAAGCAACATTTTATTCTAAGTCTTTTATCAGTTGCCCACTGCATTAGCCTTTATTGCTTTGGTGTATTCTTTATTCATATCTAACTGGACAGGTTCTCCAACTATGCTAAGTTCCCTTTATATCACGATGGAAGCTCTGAGAGCTGTTATGCAATCAGGATAGCGTGTAGGGTGATCCACCCTACACTTCCTGTCTACGAAGCTGGGTACTAGGGGTTTTATCAACCACTGTGTGTGTGTTTCTCTAATTTAGTGACTTTTTCAATTAAATATTTCCAAACCTTCTTTTCCTTTTAAATGGCCTTCCTTTTACCCTGGGTATCCCCATACCAATGAACCTTTTCACTGCCTGAAATGCCCAATACTTAATGCTGAGAGGCTAGCGGAGACATGGCAACTGTGGTGAAGGCCTTCTTCCACAGAAGACCATGCAATAGCTACCTGCCTGCTTATCTTGATTGTAGGCATTTGAACTGGATAGTGTGATCTGATCTTTAAAAAGAAACAAAGAGGCATGACTAGGTCCCCCCTGGGAGGCTGGTAGCTTATATAGAAGGTGAATCAGTGAGCTCCCACTGTTAAACTTGAGGCCAAACCCAGCTAGGTAACAATCCAATATAAAAGAGACACAAAAAGCAGTCAAGCTCAGCTGAATAGATGAAACATACACAGAGTGCTCAGTCCTTCTCCAAATTACAAGTGGACCTGTGTGTACACCTCCTCCAACACTATACCCAGCACAGCCTAGCCTGTTTACATCCCTCGTGCCTTTATGCATAACAGCAGTGTTGTAGCAAATGATTCTGGTCACAGTAAATAAGCACACATAATGATCTTGCTCACTGCTCTGGTTTCAGCAGCAACTCTCCATGAGATTGCAGAAGCACCTCCAGAATCTGTGGCCAGGCCAGATATAAAATGTCAAAAAGCTGTTATGATTTTCCTTTCAAATGATCTAGCTCCTCCTCAAAACAGCTTTTTACAAATGTATGGCCTTTAAAAAATAATGTTTCTTTTTTAATTGGATTTTTTCTGAGATGAAATGCACCTACCCCATATGTATACAACTCATTCAACAATACAAAGGAGCAAAATTTCAGTAGATTCAGACCAACCGTGCACAAAAATGTGACTGAGTTACTACAAAGAACTAGTAAATAGATGTTCACATATTTTCAGATGCTCAGGAAGACTAGCAAGTATGGCAGAAAACCAGCTTGGCTTAGCAGGGATATCTTCAGTGAGCTAAAACACAAAAAGGAAGCTTACAAGAAATGGAAAGTTGGACAAACTACTAGGGAAGGAGTATACAAGCACTGCTTGGAAATGCAGGAATGAAATCAGGAAGGCCAAAGCACAGTTGGAGTTGCACTTAGCAAGGGACATGAAGGGTAACAAGAAGGGTTTCTATAAGTACATCAGCAACAAGAGCAAAATCAGGGAAAGTGGGTCCATTTCTGAATGGGGGAGGCAACTAGGTGACAGATGATGTGGAAAAGGATGAAGTACTCAATGCCTTTTTCACCTCAGTCTTCGCAGGCAAGGTCAGCTCCCAGACTACTGCACCGGGCAGCACAGTTTGGGGAGGAGGTGAGCAGCCCTCAGTGGTGAAAGAAGTGGTGAAAGATTAGGGACTACTTAGAAAAGTTGGATGTGTACAAGTCCATGAGGCCATATATGATAGACCCAAGGATGCTGAGGGAATTGGCTGATGTGATTACAGAGCCATTGGCCATTGTCTTTGAAAACTTGTGGCAATTGGGAGAGGTCCCAGCTGATTGGAAATGGGAAATATAGTGTCCATCTTTAAGAAAGGAAGGAGGAGGATTGGGGGAACTACAGACCAGTGAGCCTCACCTCAGTCCCTGGAAAAATCATAAAACAGATCTTCAAGAAATCCATTTCTAAGAAGGTGATTAGGAACAGTCAGCATAGATTCACCAAGGGCAAGTCATGCCTGACCAACCTGATAGCCATCTATGATGAAATGGCTCTGCAGATGGGGGAGACCAGTGGATGTGGTATATCTTGACTTCAGCAAGGCTTTTGATAGGGTCTCCCTCAACAGTCTTGCAAGCAAGCTAAGGAATTGTGGGTTGGATGAATGAGCTGTAAGATGGATAGAAAACTGGCTGAATGCACAGGCTGAAAGGGGGAGCAGTACATATGCCAGAGGGTAGGACTCAGATTGGACCAAAAGAAATCTTATGAGGTTCAATAAGTGAAAATTCCTGAACTTAGGGCAGAACAACTGGTACAGGCTAGGGACTGACTGGCTAAGCAGTGGCTCAGCACAAAAGGACCCAAAGGTTACAGTGAGCAATAGACTGAATATGAACCAATAGTGTGCCCTTGTTGCGAAGAAGGCTTTTCTTCTTCAGCAATCCCTTGCAGTCAAGGATGATTTTCTTCCACGATTGTCTTATCTGTTGTCCAAAGACGGCTGATTAGGCCAATCCAGGATTGATATGTGTTTATCCATTGCAGCTTGAACAAGTATTTTTGTGTGGGGTAGGTGGTGCTGGATTCTTGATTGGTCCACAACATGCTGTTTCTTCCACTCCTGCTTTTCCATCTGTTATTGTTGTCATGAGGTTTCAAAGTAACCTTTGTTGCAAAGAAGACTAACAGCATACTGGGCTGCATTAGTAGGAGTGTTGCCAGCAGATCAAGGGAAGTGATTCTGCCCCTCTTCAGCCCTAGTGAGGCCACATCTGGAGTACTATGTCTGGTATTGGGCCCCCCATTATAGAAAGGATGGGGACAAATTGGAGACAGTCCAGCAAAGGGCAACAAAAATCGTTAGGGGCTGAGGCAGATGACTTATAAGGAAAGGCTGAGGGAACTCCTCATGGGCTTATTTAGTCTGGAGAAGAGAAGACTGAAAGGGGATGTAATAGCAGCCCTCAACTACCTGAAGGGGGGTTCCAGAAAGGATGAAGCTAGACTGTTCTCAGTGATGGCAGATGACAGAACAGGGAGCAATGGTCTCAAGTTGTAGCAAGGGAAATTTAGGTTAGATACTAGGAAAACTCTTTCACAAGCAGTGAAGTAAAGCACTGGAACAGGTTACCCAGAGAGGTAGAGGAATCTCCATCCTTGGAGGTTTTTAAGACCCAGCTAGATAAAGCCTTGGCCAGGATGATTTAGTTGGGGATGGTCCTGCTTTGAGCAGGGGGTTGGACTAGATGACCTCCTGAGGTCCCTTCCAACCCTCATTTTCTATGATTCTGTGATTTAAATACCCATCTGAACACTCTGTCATGGTAATTATATATACACATACCAATGTTTAAGCATCATTAGACCTACCAATCTGAATGACAGAAAAAAGGGGTTATACTGATCAATTCTTTACTTCAGTATGACACGGGATGCAGACTAACTGATCCCAAAACTTCTTGGGATATTTAACAAATCAAATAAGGTTAAATTATTAAATTGATTTTCCTAAGTTGAGAGCCAACTGCATTACTTAGTATATTTATATTTAAGACAAATGCCCTATTAGATATTAATCTTATAGTTTCATAGTGCTTAGGGTCAGAAGGGACCTAAACAGATCATCAGGTCCGACCCCCTGCCCTGGGCAGAAATGGGTGTCACGGTCATATCACCCCAGCCAAATCATATCACCCTAGGCAAATATCTGTACAGCCTCCTCTTGAAGACTCCCAGAGCCTGGCAGCTCTGACTGTAAAGTAATGTTTCCTGATGTCCAGCCTGAACCTTCTCTTTAACAATCTGTGGCCATTATTCCTAGTAAACCTGGGTGGTGCCCGGGGCAACAGAGTGTTCCCCAATTCTCACTGGTTCCCCCTGGTGAGTTTGTAAACGGCTACCAGATCCCTTCTCAGCCTTCTCTTGTGGAGACTGAACAGGTTCAGGCCCTTTAGCCTCTCCTCGGCCTGCCCTGCTGCCCTTTGACCATATGAGTGGCCCTCCTCTGGAGCCTCTCATTGCTGGCCACACTCCTTTTGAAGTGTGACACCCAGAACTGGAGGCAATACTGCAACTGTGGCCTGACCAAAGCCGCATCTAGGGGAAGGATCACCTCCCTGGACCTGCTTGTGATGCCTCTGTAGCTGCATGACAAGGTGCGGTTAGCCTTATTGACCGCTTCTTCACATTGGCAGCTCATGTTCATCCTGGAGTCAACAATGACTCCAAGGTCCCTTTCTGCCACCGTATTGACAAGGAGGGTGTTTCCCAGCCTATAGGTATGTTGCAGGTTCCTTCTCCCTAGTTGCAGTACCTTGCACTTGTCTGCATTGAACTCCGTCCTGTTCTCATCTGCCCATCTCTGCAACCTGTCTAGATCTAGCTGGATTCTGTCCCTCCCCTCCAGCATGCCTACCTCACCCCACAACTTGGTGTCATCAGCGAATTTGGACAGGATGCATTCCACACCCACATCCAGATCACTGATAAAGACATTGCACAGTACAGGCCCCAGGACCGAGCCCTGGGGGAGTCCACTGCCCACATCCCTCTAGGTTGAAAACGACCCGTCCACCACCACTCTCTGGGTGCGACCATCTAGCTAATTTGCCACCCATCTGACTGTGTAGGTATCAGTGCCACAGTCACCTAGTTTTTTTAAGAGAATGTGGTGAGAAACGGTG